GAGGGTGAGGATGAGGATGAGGATGAGGATTATGACGAGGATGATGATACCGATGCTGCTGCTGATGATGATGATGATGCTGATGATGCTGCTGATGATGACGATGCTTATGATGGTGATGCTGCTGATGCTGCTGCTGATGATGATGCCGAAGACTACGATGATTATGATGTCGATGCTGATACTGCTGATGCTGATGCTGATGCTGATGTTTATGCTTCTGATGATGACGGCAATGATGCTGATGCTGCTGATGATGCTGATGCTGATGATGCTGCTGATGCTGATGCTGATGCGGATGATGATGATACTGACGATGGTGATGATGCCGATGAGGATGATGACGATGACGATGCTGATGATGTTGATGATGCTGCTGATGCTGATGCTGATGATGATTCTTATGACTATTTTTATGATAATGATGATGCTGACGGTGATGGTGATGATGATGATGATGATGATGATGATGATGCTGATGATGATGATGATGATGATGATACTGCGGATGAGGATGATGATGCTGATGCTGCTGATGATGCTGATGCTGATGCTGATGCTGTTTATGATGATGATGCTGATGCTGATGCTGACGATGATGCTGATGATGCTGATGACGCTGATGATGATGCTGTTGATGTTGTTGACGATGATGCTGACGATGCTGATAATGCTGATGATGCTGATGATGCTGATACTTATGATGACGATGCTGATGATGCTGATGATGTTGCTGATGCTGATGCTGATGCTGATGATGATGATGGTGATGATGATGATGATGATGATGATGATGCTGATGCTGATGATGCTGATGCTGACGATGATGCTGATGCTGCTGCTTATGATGACGATGATGCTGATAATGCTGATGCTGATTATGATGATGCTGATGCTAATGCTGATGCTGATGATGGTGCTGATGATGATCATGATGATGAGGATGATGTTGATGCTGATGATGATGATGCTGATGCTGCTGCTGCTGATGATGATGATGATGATGACCATGATGATTATTATGATGATGCTGATGATGATGCTGTTGATGCTGATGCTGATTAGGATAATGATGCTGATGATGATGCTGATCATGATAATGATGATGGTGCTGACGATGATGATGATGATGATGATGATGATGATGATGATGATGATGATGATGATGATGATGATGATGATGATGATGATGATGATGATGATGATGATGATGATGGTGGTGGTGGTGGTGTGGTGGTGGTGGTGGTGATGGTGGTGGGGGTGGAGGAAGAGGAGGTCAGAGAGGGATGGAGGAGTATGATTCTGATTAGATGAGGATGTGATTGGTGATGAGATTATGATGATGTGCAGTGATGAAAGGTTATTATGATGATCAGATGATGCTTATTATGATGATTAATGATTATTCTAGATGATATGATGCGTGATGATGTATGATATGATGCTCATATCTGGATGATGATGAAGATAGACGAGTGACGATACGATGACGAACGATGATGATTATGATGAGCTGATGATGATGATTATGATGATGCTGATGATGATGATGATGATGCTGATGCTGATGCTGATGCTGATGCTGATGCTGATGCTGATGCTGCTGATGCTGATGCTGATGATGATGATGATGATGATGATGATGATGATGATGATGATGATGATGATGATGATGATGATGATGATGATGATGATGATTAGGAGGCGGAGGTTGAGGAGGAGCATTTGGAGGAGCAGGTTCCTCAGCCCTCCTTCTCCTCCGCTCCAGGAGAGGCTGCTCTCGCTGTCCATGTACGTGTTCGAGGGCGACTTCTCCTGCTGCCAGCAGAAGCACGCCAAGTCGTGCTGCGACAAGGAGGCCCTGGTGGAGCCGCTGCTGGGGCTCTACGGCCTGGTCCTGCGGCAGGTGCGCGCAGGCGTGGACCTGAAGCGCGTGCAGCCAGTTCTCAAGCACATCCTCGGAGGAGGGCGGCCGGTTGAGACGACGGCGGCCTTTGCTGGCGAGTTCCGTGCCCTCTCGGCCTACCAGAGGCCTCTCGCCGCCACGGCTGGACACTCTATGCTGGGCCCGTTTTCCACCACCACCACCATCAGTTGGAGGGGGAGGAGGAGGAGGAGGAGGAGGAGGAGGAGGAGGGTGAGAGAGGAGGAGGAGGATGAGGAGGAGGAGGAGGCAGGAGGATGGATGCGGTGAGAGTGGATGCGGATGCGTAGGGCGGCTTAGGAGTAGGAGTAGAGGAGGAGGGAGCGGCGGGAGGAGGGAGGAGGAGGTAGAGTCATGAGGGGAGGCATGGATGCGGATGAGGATAGGCGGAGGAGGAGGAGAGGAGGAGAGGGGAAGGATGAGAGGAGGGAGGGATGAGGAGGAGGGGAGGGAGGAGGAGGAGAAGGAGGAGGAGGAGAGGAGAAGGCTAGATGACCCCTTCCCCCTCCAACTTATGGTGGTGGTGGTGGTGGTGGAAGACAGGCCCATCACTCTACCTGTGCGCCTCGAGACGCGGGTCGGGGGGTGGGCCCAGGGAGGGCTCCGATCTGGAGCGGGCCTGTGCCTGGCGGGGGGGCGCCGCCGTCGCGTCCACCGGCGGCGGCGGCGGCGGCAGTGGCGAGTGGCCCCGGGGGCGGGCACTGCACGTGTTCGCCCTTGGGGAGGCATGCCGAAGGCATGGAGCATCGGCGCCCCTGGAGGAGTACACGTATAGCTCGCCCGTGGTCGGGCGAAGAGACTTATGCACATGCACCGATCCTGGCAAGGCCCAGCCTCGACCCAGGATCGGTGCATATGCCTTCCTGGCCAAGGCTGGAGGGCGTATGCACCGATCCTGGGCTCAGGGTTGGGCCTGGCCAGAATCGGTGTATGTGCATAGTTTGTTTTCCTCTAAGGAATACGTGTAGCTCGCCCCTGGGCTATCCGCCTCCATCGTCGCCCCCAGGTCTGGCCCTCCTCCGAACGTCTGCAGCAACAGGGAGCGCTTCTTCCCTCCGTCGCACCGCGTCCAGGCTGACGACGCCATCCCGGAGGAGCGGGAACTCTTCGGGCCGCTCGTGGAGTGCATGGAGAAGTACGTCGGAGACCTCAGGAGCCTTTTCTTCGCATTGTTTAACCGACCCCTGTCCCCACCCCCATCCCGATCCAGACCCCCACCATTCTACCACCCCAGTTGGGGATGTACCCCTCGAAACCCGAAGGAAACGGCCTACGCATATCCCCTATCGAGGGGGATCAGTCGGCCAGTGGGGCCCAGGCGACGCCCATGGGGAAAGGAGCCGTTAAAGAAACTCATGTTCTGTTTTCTCGTCTTCCTTCATTTCACCTGGCCACACATCGAGGAGCAAATGCTAGCATAGACATACACTTTCGGAGGTCCGCGCGGATTTCTTGGATCGGCGCTGAACCCCTTTCACTGGCGCGCGGAGCGCGCCAGGGGCGGCGGAGTTGCCGCCAGGGGACTGGCGCCAGAATCCACGAGGACCTCCAGAAGTATGCTATTATTTGTTCCTCGATTTTCCGTTCTCTGGTCTTCCTTCAGTTCATCTGCCAAGAGGGGCGTTACGGGGGACAGCGGGGGCTGGCATCGCCACGATCTGCGCCGTCGCCGTCGGGGCCGCCTCGCAGCGTGAAGCGCTTCGGATCGGCGCAGGTCTTCCGCTGCACCAGCTGCCGCAGGTTCTTGCACTTTCGGTGGCAATTCATGGGACCCGTGCCATCTTGCTGGCTCTTGCGAATCGAAGCTGGTCGACCCAAATCGACGCTAAATCGGCGCTATACCATCGATTACCTGACCCCAATCGACGCTGGTGCGCTCTAAAGACGGCATTGCGAGGGTACACGAGGCTCCCATGATGTGCTACCGAATGCATGCATTGCCGGACGGTGCCAGCGCGAGTCGTGACCTTACGCAGGGTGGATGGGGTGGAGTGGCGGTCCCAGGGAGCCCCAGAACTACGACGTCGTGATGGTTACCTCGTTCCCCTTGTATCATTATTGCCGATCGGATGCGCTGCGGGGAGACACGGGGGACGGCAGCGCCACGATCTGTGCTGTCGCCCTCGGGGCACGCGGTGCACCTGGCCATTTCTGGACGGCGCCGGCGCGCATCGTGACTTTGCCCGGGGGTGGAGTGGTGGATGGGGTGGCCCCAGGTAACCCTAGGCTTCCCAGGTGGGGTCGGAGTAGATGCTGTCGGAGGATTGCGCTGCATCGCCGATGCATCAGCGATGCGGCTCGATGTGGAGCCCGATCTTCTCCACGCGGACGTCGCCGCTGCATCGCCGACGTCGTCCACGCATCGCCGATGTATCACCGATGCATCGCCGATGCATTGGCGATGCTGCGCGATCCTCCGACCCGAGCGCGTCTTCTGCCCGCGGTGGTGTCTGGACGGCTTTGGTGGCCGGGAGGGGCTCTCGGAGGCCAAAAATTGGTAAAATCTTCAGTTGCGATCTTCTCGCAGCCAGCGCGGGGATGTCAGGGACGGGCGCCTCTGGCAGCGCTTCCAAAACGAGCTCCAGCCTCCGGGAGTGCGCCTTCTTGTCCCCGTCCTTCGCGAAGAGCAGGACTTCGGCATCGTCCAAACGAGCCCCATCCCCACTGTGCCACGGCATCTGAACCCCACTAGCCCACCGCCCAGGTCGGGATAGGCTCCGCGAAATCCGAAGGGAACAACGCATGTCCCTACCAAAGGGGGTAACTGAAAGAGCATCTTCGGGGGACCTTGTCTGTCTATGAACTTACGGTCTTTTCTTGTGCCCGCCCCAGGTTCGACGCGGATTCGACGCGGATCCGACATGGATTCGGTGCGGATTTGACTCGAATAGCGAAGCGATGGGACAGACAAGGTTTCCCGAAGATGCCGCATAAGATGAGTCGGCCAGCGGCGGTCAGGGTATGCCCGTGGGGATGAACATCGGTCAAACGATGCTCAGGACCAGCCTCGGGTCTTTGGCCAGCGCTGGTACGCTGGGCAACGAGGGCCCTCGCTGAGCCACGGCTCTGCGCCGCTTCCCTCACGGGCAGCGTCCATCCGTGCTGGCTCGTGTCGTATGAGCCCTAATTCACATGGCCGCCGTACTGTTCCTTGGCGCAGGCGTGGGACTGGTCGCGTCCTATGCCCAGAGCTGTTGTCTTCACGCCGCAGCCCTGGCCGTGCAGAAGACCTGTGACTCGTGCCTCGAGCCAGACAGGCTGCGGTACAAGTGGATCCTTGACCGGAGAGGGATTGCTCATGACAGTCTCGACTGTAAAGATCTAGGTCTCCTAGACGGGGTCGGGGTAAATGGGGTCGGAGGATCGCGCCGAATCGCTGATGCATCACCGATACATTGCCGATGCGGCTCGATGTGTAGCTCGATTTCCTTCACGTCGACGTCGCTTATGCGTCGCTTATGCATCGCCGGTGCATCGCCGGTGCATCGCCGATGCATCGCCGATGCATCGCCGATGTATCGGCTATGCGGCGCGACCCTCTGACCCCATCTTCTCCGACCCCATCTAAGAGGCCTCCAAACGAGGGGACTTGCCAGCACAAGTATGGTGATGCTCCCGCGGTGGCGCGCGAGGGCACGAGCAGATGCCTCGCCCTCGTGGCCAGCTGCCGCCCCACCCCCGCGCACGGCAGGAGGCGGTGCGGCGGTGCGGCAGGACCTTCGGGCTCGCGGCGTGCACGGGAAGGTGAGTGTGGTGCCGCGAGTGCTCGGTGGAGAAAGGAGGAGGGGGGGAGGGTGCGAAGGGAGGGAGGGAGGGAGGGAGGGAGGGAGCGATGAAGAGGAGGAGGATGAGGAGGAGGATGAGAATGAATCTGATGATGATGATGATGATGATTATGATGAGTACGTTGTTGTTGATGATGGTCATGATGATTGTGATGATGATGATGAGGGCCATGATGATGACGATTCTGTTGATGATGATAATAATGAGGATGATGAGGATGATGACGAGTCTGATGCTGATGATGATGTCGATTATGATGATGATACTGAGATAGATGAGGATGATGAATATGATGTTATTGTTGATGATGCTGATGCTTCTAAGGATGATGGTGATGATTCTGAAGATGCTGCTGTTGTTGATGATGATGATTGTTCTGAATATGATGATGATAATGAGGATGATGAGGATGATGAGCATGATGATGATGATGATGAAGATGAGGTTGTTGACGATGGTAACGGTGATGATGATACTGATGATGATGAACATTATGTTGCTGCTGATGATGATTATTGTTATGATAATTCTGAGCATGATGATGATGATGAGTTCAAGATGATTATGTTGTCATTGATGATGATGACGATGATGACGATGATGATGATGATGATGATGATGATGATGATGATGATGCTGAGCATGATTCTTTTGATGATGAGGATGATGATGAGGATGATGCTGATGATGATGATCAAGATGCTGTTGTTGATGATGATTGTGATTATGATGATTTTGCTGATGCCGATGATTATAATTAGTATGTTGATGCTGATGATGACGATGATTCTGATTTTGTTGTTGATGATGCTTGCTGTGATTGTGATGATTGTGATGATGCTGATGATGGTGATGATGATGCCGACGATGATGATTGTGATGGTGATGATGATGCTGCTGATGATGATGATGATGATGATGATGATGATGATGATGATGATGATGCCGCTGCTGCTAATGATACTGCTTATGATGATGACGATGATGACGATACTGATGCTGATGATGATGCAACTGCTGATGATAATGATGATGCTGTTAATGATGGTGATGATGCTGACGGTTTGGATGATGAGGATGACGAGGATGATGACGATGATGATGTTGTGGATGATGGTGGTGGTGGCGATGATGATGCTGATGATGATGGTGATTCTGATGATGATGATGATGATGATGATGATGAGGATGATGATGATGCTGCTGATTGGTGATGGATGATGACGATGATGACGATGATGATAATGATGATGATGATGATGATGATGATGATGATGATGATGATGATGATGATGATGATGATGATGATGATGATGATGATGATGATGATGATGATGACGAGAATGAGGATGAGGATGAGGATGAGGATGAGGATGAATAATACAATGAAGATGACCAGTCTGCCCCACCCCGCCACCTCGCGGCATTTTAGAATCGCCCACCAACACCTTGTCCTCCGCCTCTTCCACCACCCTATTCCCCCCCCCGCTCTCTTCCGGTTCATCCTCGCCTGTTTGGTCGTCGTCGGCGCCTTCGGCGTTCCCTCCTGCTCCTCCTTTGCTTCGTCCTCCGCATCAGCTTCTTCCTTCCGCTCCTTTCTTCCTCTTGTCCTCAGCCTCCTCCTCCTGCTCCCCACCCCACTCGTTCCCCCCTCAGCCTCCTCGTCCTCCTCGTCCTCCTCGCCCTCCTCGTCCTCCGTCCTCCTCGTCCTCCGTCTTCCCCGTCCTCCGTCCTCGTCCTGCTCCCTCCTCCCTCCTCTCCTACCCCCCTTCCCCTGTCCTCGTCCTCCCTCTTCCCCGCCGATCCGTCCCCTCTTCCCCGCCGATCCGTCCCCGCCGATCCGTCCCTGCCGATCCGATCCGTCCTCTGTCCTCGTCCTGCTCCCCCCTCTTCCCCGCCGATCCGTCCCCTCCGCCCCTGCCCCTCCGCCCTCCGCGCGCTGAGCACCGCCTCGCGCCGCGGCAACGCGGCACGCGGAGGCGGCTGGCGCCGACGGCGCCGCGGCGAAGGGCCCCGACATGAGCGACGGCAAGGTGGGGCGGTGCCCGAGGGAGGAAGGAGCAGCGCGGAGCGAGGAGCGAGGAGCGAGGAGGCGGAGGAGGAGGAGGAGCGAGGAGCGAGGAGGAGGAGGAGGAGGAGGAGGAGGTGGAGCGAGGAGCGAGGAGCGGGAGGAGGAGGATGATGCTGAGGATGAGGATGAGGAGGATGAGGATGAGGATGAGGATGACGATGATGATACTGCTGCTGCTGCTGCTGCTGCTGCTGCTGATGATGATGATGATGATGATGATGAGGAGGATGATGATTCTGATGATGCTGATGATGCTGCTGCTGATGACGATGACGACGATGGTGGCGATGATGATGATGATGATCATGGTGGTGGTAATGATGATGATGATGATGATGATGATGATGATGATGAGGATGATGATGATGATGATGCTGTTGCTGATGCTGTTGCTGATGTTGATGCTGCTGATGCTGATGCTGATGCTGATGCTCGTGTTGCTGCTGATGCTGATGCTTATGCTGCTGCTGGTGCTGATGCTGCTCGGCTGCTGCTGTTGAGGATGCTGATGATGCCGATGATGCTGATGCTGCTAGTGCTGATGATTCTGATGATGCTGATTCTGATGACGACGCTGATGACGATGCTGACGATGCTGGTGATGATGCTGTTGATGATGATGATGAATATGATGCTGCTGCTGATGCTGTTCATGATGATGACGATGATGCTGATGACGATGGTGCTGCTGCCGATGATGATGATGGGGACGATGATGCTGCTACTGATGATGATGCTGATGATGCTGATTATGATGATGCGGATGATGCGGATGATGCTGATTCTGATGATGGCGCCCACGATGGTGATGATGATGCTGCTGCTGATCATTATGATGCTGATGATGATGGTGATGCTGATGCTGCTGCTGCTGATGATGATGATGATGATGATGATGATGATGATGCTGATGATGATCAGATGATGCTGATGCTGCTGATGCTGATGCTGCCGCCGCTGCTGCTGCTGCTGATCAGGAGGAGCAGGAGGAGGACGAGGAGGAGAGAGTCAGCAGCGGGGATCGGTGAGCGAGGAGCGAGGAGCGAGGACCGAGGCGGATGATGATGATGGTGATGATGATGATGTTGATGATGATGCTGATGATGCTGATGATGCTGATGATGCTGATGATGATGACGATGATGATGAGGATGATGATGATGATGGGGATGATGCTGATGATGCTGATGATGCTGATGATGTTGCTTATGATTATGATGCTGTTGATGATGCTGAGGAGGGGGATGCTGCTGATGATGCTGATGATGATGATGCTGATGAGTATGACGATGCTGATGATGCTGATGCTGATGATGATGCTGCTGCTGATGATGATGCTGCTGATGCTGATGAGGATGATGAGGATGCGGATGAGGATGAGAACGATGTTGACGATGATGCTGATGCTGATCATGATGACGATCGCTATGACGATACTGATGGCGATGCTGCTAATGGTGATGATGGGTGATGATACTGCTGCTGATGCTGATGGCGACACAGATGATGCTGATGACGATGATGAGGCTGCGGATGAGGATGACGATGCTGATGCTGCTGATGCTGATGATGATGTTGATGCTGGTGGCTATGTCGATGGAGATGATGATGCGGTTGATGACGCTGAGGGTGATGCTAGTGATGCTGATGCTGCTGATGCGGATCATGATGTTGATGTTGATGATTTGGATGATGATACTGATGCCACTGCTGCGGTTGATGAGGATGATGCGACTGATGATGATGATGATGATGATGATGATGATGCTGGCGATGATGATGCTGATGCTGATGACGATGCTGGTGATGCGGATGATGATGCTGATGCTGATGATGGTGATGGTGCTGATGCTGATGATTCTTATTATGACGATGCTGATGCTGCTGCTGATGATGCGGATGTTGATGACGATGATGATAGTGATGCTGATGAGGATGATGATGATGATGGTGGTGGTGCTTTTTGCTGATGATGATGATGCTGATGATGATGCTAATGCTGATGATGATGGTGGTGGTTGTGGTGATGAGGGTGATGATGCAGATGCTGATGATGCTGATGATGATGATGCTGATGATGATGATGGTAGTGGTGGTTGTGATGATGATGATGATGCCGATGCTGATGGTGATGATGTTGATGATCACGATGATGATGATGATTATGATGATTATGATGATGATGATGATGATGATGATGATGATGGTGCTGATGATGATGATGGTGATGATGATGATGATTATGATGATGCTGATGCGAACGCTGATGATGATGATGATGCTGATGCTGATGATACCGATGCTGATGATGACGATGACGATGACGATGCTGATGCTGTTGCTGATGCTGATGATGCTGATGCTGATGATGCTGATGCTGATGCTGCTGCTGCTGATGAGGATGATGATGCTGATGATGCTGATTGGTGATGGATGATGATGATGATGACGATGCTGCTGATGATGATGATGATGGTGGTGCAGATGAAGATGACGATGTTGATGATGCTGGTGCTTTTGCTGATGATGATGCTGCTGACGATGATGCTAATGCTGATGATGATGGGGCTGATGATGATGATGATGATGATGATGATGATGATGATGATGATGATGATGATGATGCTGATGCTGATGATGATGATGATGATGATGATGGTGATGGTGATGGTGATGGTGATGGTGATGATGATGATGATGATGACGATGATGATCATGATGATGATGATGATGATGATGGTGATGGTGATGGTGATGGTGATGGTGATGGTGATGGTGATGATGATGATGATTTGATGACGATGATGATGATGATGATGCTGATGCTGATGATGATGTTGATGATGATGATGATGATGATGATGATGATGATGATGATGATGATGCTGTTGCTGCTGCTGCTGTTGATGATGATTATTTTGATTATGGTGATGATGCTGATGGTGGTGGTGGTGCTGGTGGTGGTGATGATGATCAGGAGGAGGATGAGGAGGAGGAGGAGGAGGACGATAAGGATGATGCGGAGAAAGAGGAGGAGGAGGAGGAGGAGGAGGAGGAGGAGGAGGAGGATGATGAGGTCAACTACCACTTGGATTCTCAACAGTCCCAACCCTCCTGCGTCGGGTTCTCGTTTTGAATAGAGCACTGTGGTCGCGTCCTCCTCCCGCCCCCCCTCCTCTCTTCCCTCCTCCTCCTCCTCCTCATCCTCCTCCCTTCGCTTCTTTCTTCCTTCCTCCTCTCCTCTTTTGCCTTTTATCTTTGCGCCATCTCTGAGGGTCTGCGATCTGCGAAACGGTCGCCATTTTCGGTGGCTGCTGGGGGGGGGGGGCAGCATTGTGGATACCAGGCGCAGACTCAGATTAGACATCGCCAGCTCTGGGGGGCTGCGATCTGCGAAACTGTCGCCATCCCTGAGGGGGCGGCATCGTGGGTACCAGGCGCAGATCCAGATTATACCTCGCCATCCTTGGGGTGCTGCGATCTGCGAAACTGTCGCCACTCCCGAGGGCTGCTGAGGGGAGCAGCATTGTGGGTACCAGACGCAGATTCAGATTAGACCTCGCCATCCCTGGGAGGCCGCGGACTGCGAAACGGTCGCCACTTTCGAGGGCTGTTGGGGGGCCAGCATAGGTGGGTACCAGACGCAGATCCAGATTCGACCTCGCCATCTCTGAGGGTTTGCGATCTGCGAAACTGTCGCCACTTTCGAGGGCTGCTGAGGTGGCTAGCATCGTGGGTACCAGGCGCAGATCCAGATTCGACCTCGCCATCCCTGGGGCCTGCGATCTGCGACACTGTTGCCACTCTCGAGGGCTGCTGGGGGGCCAGCATCGTGGATACCAGACGCAGATTCATATTAGATCTCGCCATCCCTGGGGGCTGCGACAGTCGCCACTTTCGAGGGCTGCTGGGGGGGGGGGGGGGGGCATAGTGAATACTCGCCGCAGGCTCAGATTGGACCTCACCATCCCTGGGGGGCTGCGATCTGCGAACCTGTCGCCATTTTCGAAGGCTGCTGGATGGGGGCCAGTATAGTGGATATTCGCCGCAGATGTAGAGTAGACCTCGCCATACCTGGTTCGCTGTGATCTGTGAAACGGTCGCCACTTTCGAGGGCTGCTGGGTGTTGTGTGTGTGTGTGTGTGTGTGTGGGGGGGGCAGCATAGTCGGTAATCGCCGCAGGCTCAGATTAGACCTCGCCATCGCTGGGGGGCCGCGACCTGTGAACCTGTCGCCACTTTCGAGTGCTGCGTGGGGGCCTGCATAATTGATATTCGCCGCAGGTTCACATTAGACCTCGCTATCCCTGGGGGGCTGCGATCAGCGAAGCGGCCGCCACTTTTGAGTGCAGCTGAGGGTGGGGGGGCAGCATTGTGGGTACTTGCCGCAGGCGCAGAGTAGACCTCGCAGTCCCTGGGGGGGCTGCGATCTTACGAAACTGTTGCCACGTTCGAGTGCTGCGTGGGGGCCAGCATAGTGGGTACTCGCAGCATGGTCAGATTAGACCTCGCCATCCCTGGGGGGGCTGCGATCTGTCAACTTGTAGCCGCTCTCGAGGGCTGCTAGGGGGCCAACATAGTGGGTACTCGCCGCAGATTCAGGTTAGACTCAGCCACCTCTGGAGTCTGCGATCTGCGAAACCGCCGTCACTTTCGAGTGCAGCTGAGGGGCCAGCATTGTGGGCAGCAGCCGCAGATTCTGATTAGACCTCGCCATCCCTGGGGGGCTGCGATCCGCGAAACTCGTCATCCTTGAGGGGGCAGTATCGTGGGTACCAGGCGCAGATCCAGATTAGACCTCGCCATCCCCAGGGGGCTGCGATCTGCGAAACTGTCGCCACTTTCGAGGGCTGCCGGGGGGAGCAGCATTGTGGGTACCAGACGCGGGTTCATATTAGACCTCGCCATCCCTGGAGGGCTGCGAGCTGCGACAATGTCGCCACTTTCGAGGGCTGCTGGAAGGGGCCAGCATAGTGGATGTTCGCCGCAGATGCAGAGTAGACCTCACCACACCTGGGGCGCTGCGAACTGTGAAACGGTCGCCACTCGAGGGCTGCTGGGGGGCCAGTATCGTGGGTGCCAGACGCAGATTCATATTAGACCTCGCCATCCCTGGGGGGGGGGGGCTGCGATCTGTGAAACTGTCGCCACTTTCGAGGGCTGCTGGGGGGGGCAGCATTGTAGGTACCAGACGCAGACTCAGATTAAACCTCGCCATCCCCAGGGGGGTGCGATTGTGCGAAACTGTCGCCACTTTCGAGGGCTGCTGGGGGGACCAGCGTAGTGGGTACGACAGAGGGGGGACGCGAGATGGGGCAAGCTTTCTCAGCAGGCGGCGGCGGGCTTCTCAGAAGACCTCTGGCCTATCATGCGGCGGCGAGCGATGTGGGGAAGCGAGAAAGCGAAGGCCTTCTCAGAAGGCGGCGGGGCTTCTCAGAAACCCCTGTGTCTTCGGAGAGAAGGCTTAGACCACCTCTCTGAAGGCGCGAGGGCTTCCGAGAAGCCCCCCCGCCTTTCGCGAAGGCCTTCCCCCTCGCACCCCCCCCCCCGCGGGCTCGCCGCCAAGAGAAGGAGGGGCAGGAGGAAAGGGATGAGGAGAAGACGGACGATTATGAGGAGCAGCGGGAGGGAGGCCCCCCAGGGCCAGCACTTGCACCTCAGCAGACGATCAGGCAGTTTACTGGTCGCTCGCTCACGCGAATGCGCCGTCCGCGAGAGCGCACCAACGCGACCTTCGTCCAGCCGTAATCGTTTGTATCAGCGCGATTCTGCATACGAATGGACGGAGCAGTGCGGCAGAAATAATATCGCGCTTCGATGTCGTTCAGAGCTAGGCTGAACGAGGCCACGCAGTCCTGTCATTAGTCGGCAGCGCCCTATTGTCAGTCCTAGGTCGATCGTCAATAAGATTTAGAGCGACCCCACAGCGTAAGGGTAGCAATCCCATGGTAATCCGATCGCAGGCGCGTGACGCGCGCGTTGCAAACGGGAATCGGCAAGCCAGCATCCTTCAGGAGGGTAACACACACAGACACAATGCATCGCCGACTCTCAGCAAGATATGAGGAAACTATGGGAAGTGTGTGTGTGTGTGAGGGGGAAGACGCAAACCCAGAACAAACATGTAAAACATAAGGACTCTTGGGATTTGTGTTTACTTATTATATATTTGTGTGTCACAGGACCCCTTTAACCCTGTCCACTAGAGCTGCTGACGAGGGCTCTCTGGGTCACAGGTCCTCCATGCTCTCCAGGTCACCAGGAGGAGGAGTAGGAGCAGCAGGAGGAGGAGGAGGAGGAGGAGGAAGAGGAGGAGGAGGAGAAGGAGGAGGAGGAGGGGGAGGGGGAGGGGGAGGAGGAGGAGGAGGAGGAGGAGGAGGAGGAGGAGGAGGAGGAGGAGGAGGACGAGGAGGAGGAGGAGGGGGAGGAGGAGGAGGGGCGCCCCGAATGCCCTCCCTTTTTTCGGCGGCCAGCCCAGGGGGGCAGTGAAAAGGGGCGGCCTGCTCAGAAGGCTCGGCAGTCCCCCGGACTTCTGAGAAATTCTCTAGCCTTCTCCGAAGGCGCAGGAACTTTTCAGAAGGCGCGAGGGCTTCTGCTCCTTCTCACTCCCCCCCCCCCTCGCTCGCCGCCGATTCTTCTGGGCTGGGCTCTCCAGGTTGCCAGTGCTCCGTGAGTGCCGTCGACGTGACTTGGTCTCTCCAGGTTATCAGTGCACCACTTGGGGATCATCAGTCCTTTGGATCCGTTTTGGCTGAAGATTTCATGCTTGAAGGCGCGTCCAGTAGCACTGTGATGCCGACAATGCCTCCTTGGCACCTGGATGACCACCGCGAGGTCCCCATTTACTGAAGAGACCCTCGAGTACTCTGTCGACGAATTTCCGTTTCTCCAGCAGATTTATCGCACATTATTTGGCGATTCTCTAGCCAAGACTTCGTCACTGGGCGAGCAACTCAAGTCCTTGAGCTCTTCAAACGGCCACTTCGCAGTCGGCCGCGGAAAGAATCGATCGATCGACGAGAGCATTTATCATCGTTTCCTGCGAGATTTCATCCGCCCGCATCTCGGTGACGATCTGCTCCTCTTCGAGCGCTACGCGAATCTGCGCACGCACGTCCGGGGCAGTCGGGCTCTTACAGGCCCTCACAAAGATGCCGACTACAAGCACTCGCCATACGAGATAAACTTTTGGGTTCCCATTCAAGAGGCTTCTGCAATTCCGCCGATCGCGAGACAAACTGGTCTTTCTACAATGTCCGCCTGCGGGTTGACGCTGACCAATATCGACATTGATCAAGCTTTGCATGACTTTTCCGCGTTTAGTCTTGGTCATGGTCCCCGTTGTCTTCCCCTTTGCTGCAGAGGGGCATCTTGACTAAAAGGCGGAGAACCGCAATAATCTTTTAGCTCAATCGAAGCAACTTGGTTGATTTCTATCTCTCGAGGGTCTCCCGTGGAGCCTCTGGCGGTCTCTGGGGGCCACCTCGGCGCCATCCAGGGGCCCGGAGGCTTCCCCAGGACCAGCTCGAGCCATCCTGGGATCTCTCTGGGGCGGCGCAGCCCATGGGGACCACCGGGGGGAGCGCAGTCTTCTGGACAGCTCCTGTGGCGGGCAAGCTGCCCTTGCCTGGGATCTCTCTGGGGCGGCGCAGCCCATGGGGACCACCTGGGGGAGCGCAGTCTTCTGGACAGCTCCTGTGGCGGGCAAGCTGCCCTTGCGAGCTTGCCCCCCCCCCCCTCCCCCCTTTCCGACGGGATTTTGGGCCCCCAGGGATCGCGGAGCGAACAACATACATACACGCCGGTCGTTGAAAGTAGGTATTTTTGGATTCCCAGATCCCAATTTGCTTCAAGCGCCTTCCTACTTCAAGAGTCGACACGCTTTTGCTGTGTTCTGTTATTCTCTGGGGGGCCTGGACCCAATCAACTTGATCCGCCTTCGTACTCCATGTTTTTACCTACTTCTTCCGACCGACGTGTAAACAGAAAGACTCGGAGGTCCGCGCGGATTTCTCGCATCGACGCTGGACCCCCCTCCCTGGCGCGCGGAGCGCGCCAGGGGGAGCGCCGGAGCCGCCTCCAGAGAGCCCCAGCGCCGATCCGAGATGTCCGCGCGGACCTCCGAGTTTTTATGTTCATGTCATTGCTCGTTCCCCTAAGGGGGACCATCCCGCACGCCTTGTCACCTCTGGCAGGCGGGGGTCAGCGGATGACTCCCGTGTTCGGCAACGCGTCCCTGTGGGCCGAGTCCTCCCCCGGGCTGGGAGACTACCACCCTTTCGTGGGAAGCTACGGCACAGCCGTTCGATTCTACGGGAACCAGTGTATGCACTTCACGAAAGACAACGATACCGATCACACGCGCTTTTCTTTCGACTTTCGTGTGATACGTCTCCGTGACTTCGAGAGGTGTGGGATCGGTGTGCCTGGCCGCGAGAGCGACTCTCCCTGGGTGCTCTTCAGGTATTATGGCATCATGGGCCCCGACGGCGCATTGAGTGAAAGTGATTGGGGAGCCACAGCTATGCGCGCACGGATGCTATTAGGCGCATCTGAGTGGACGCTGGTAAGAGAGGATTTTTTTGAGGGTGTGGTCAAACGCTTTGAAGCACGGTACGGTTTTGGTTTTATCGCTTGTGCAGAGATTGAAGCTGAATACCATCAAGAGGTATTCCTTCACAAGAGCTTGGCTGCCGACTTCGTTGTTGGTGACAGGGTCTCCTTCCAGGTGTATACGAACAAGGAAGGGAAGTGCCGTGCAGTTGACCTGCAGGCTGGCGGGGCACAGGAGCGTGAAACGGCCGCTGGGCTCGAGCAGGGCGGACGAGATTGCGTGGGCTCCAGCATGCGAAGCTGTGAGGTTCCTGCGGCTGATCATCAGTATCGCTCAACCGATCCCTATCTCTCCATCTCAATCCCCATCCCGATCCCCACCATCCCACTCCTCCTCGACCTTCCCCTCCTCCTCCTCCTCCCCCTCCTCCTCCTCCTCCTCCTCCTCCTCCTTCCCTCCTCCTCCTCCTCCTCCTCCTCCTCCTCCTCCCTCCTCCTCCTGTTTTTCTTCGGCAGGCCACTGGGCGCGCACACCCGAAGCGTCAGAAATCTCCTCCTCCTCCTCCTCCTCCTCCTCCTCCTCCCGCTCCCCCTCCCCCTCCCCCTCCCCCTCCCTCTCCCCCTCCCTTCCTCCTCCTCCTCCTCCTTCTCTTCCTCCTCCTCCTCCTCCTCCTCGATCCTCCTCGATCTTTCTCCTCCTCAATAATCCTCCTCGATCATCTGCCCCACCCCCATTCGGGATCTGCCCCTCGAACCCCAGAGGGAACAGCCTGCACCCCCATCCAGGGGGGATAAAACCAGCCCGTGGGGTCCAGGCCGCGCCCGTGGGTCGGGCGGGGCTAGGACGAGGATGAATCCGTTCCAGAGCAGAACAATTTGAAGACAGAAACCTCAAAACATAAACAACATAATAGACAACCACACATTATAACAAAATCCGCTCCAGCTCTCAGCGTTCCGGGACGCGCTGGGAAGGTCGCGGCGCCCGAGACGTCTTCCAGGGCCCCTGGATCTCAGAGATTCTGGATTTATCCTCCCCCGACTTGATCCTCGTCCTGGCTTCGTCTTAGTGGGGATAGGGATCGGTTAGGCGATGCTCAGATCAGGAGTCGGCAGACGCCGTGAACACCCTGCCTTCACCTGTGCCGGCCGCGAGGCCTTCTGCGACCTCGGCCGCGCGGCCGCGCTCGACGTCGGCGGAGCATCGCAAGAGGTGCGTGTTGCTCTTCGGGTCCGACCGGGCCTCGCGGCGCAGTTGTGCGCGGTGCAGCTGGCTGGCGAACAGGGAGCACAGGGGAACAAACAATGACATAAACATACAAACGACTCGGGGGTCCGCGCGGATTCCTCGGATCGGCGCTGGGTCCCCCCCTGCGGCGCCTCCAGCGCCGATCCGAGAGATCCGCGCGGCCACCCGAGTTTCTATGATTGTGTCAGTGTTTGTTCCCCTAGAGCACCTGCTAAATACGTGTGTGTATGAAGACGCGTGCGGCACGCAGCGCCCATGGATATCCGAAAACCCTGACGGGGCAGCGCGCTGGGGATTGGGCTGCTTAATCTGTCGCGCTGCTCGTGACAATGGCTGTGAACTTGCTGCAAACATTCCACAGTCGAGTTTCACAGAGTTCACCTTCGGCAGGGATGCGCCACGGCTGCTGGTTCAGCCACTGGTCCGACACGGCAATCATGGCGGGCATCGCCAGGGCGAGAGCGTGAGCGACCGAGTGGCGCGCGATGAGGGCCATGCCAGGTCAGCAAGTGCCGTCCTCAGAGGGGTTCTCGATCTCAATCGAAACGAAAAAGTGTTCCAGGCTCCCCAGACGAGGAGGGAGGATGGAGGAGGGAGGAGGGAGGGAGGGAGGGAGGGAGGAGGAGGCGGAGGAGGAGCATAAGGCGGAGGCGGAGGAGGAGGAGGAGGAGGCAGAGGCGGAGTTGGAGGCGGAGGCGGAGGAGGAGGAGGAGAAGGAGGAGGAGGCGGAGGAGGAGGTGGAGGAGGAGGACGAATAACAGTAATACTACTAACGGTACTATTACGAATAAGAGTGCTACTGCTAATACGAGCAATACTAATATTACGACGAAGACGAATCATATTAAGACGACTAGTAGGGCGAATCAGACGAATACTACTATTCCTAATATTATCACGAATAACAATAATAAATCTAGTCATGATCACAATAATAATAAACATCCGAATGCTATTAATAGTAATATTTCGAAGAATATTGATACTGCGAACAAGAACAACAGGATTAGTAATAATGATAAGAAGAAGACGAAACCGAATGATAATACTAGTAAACACGAGAAGAATAACAATACGGATGCGAATGATAGTACAAGTAAGAAAACGAAGAGGAGAAGGAGGAGGCACCGATCTTCTGGGCTCTCTTTCGCCCGTCCTCCGCCTCCTCGAAGCCCCCCCCCCGCTGCGAGCTTGTCCCACCCTCGTCCGCACGCCATGTCGCCACCGAAGCGTTCCTCGAGGCCTCCTCCCTCCAAGCTATCCCCCAACCCTCCCCTCGTCCCTGCTCCTCCTTTAAGTCTCCTTCTGAGCCTCGTCAGAGGGAGACTTAAACGAGGAGACGGGGGAGGAGTGACAATGATTCCCTCTGGACCTCCCTCTACCCTATCCTCCTCCCGTCCTCCCTCCATCTATCTAGTCTCCCCCCACGTCTCCTCCCGTCTCCCTCCAAGTGTCCTTCAGGCCTGCTTCAGGAGAGCAAGTCATCAATCAAACTCTGGACGCGGACACATTTTGTTTCCAGGGATCGTGGCCTTGGGAACGCGGACTCGTTGCTTTTTAAGAGGTATCGTGGCCTCTGGAGCAGTGGGTATGCATGCGACTGTCTGGTGGTAGAGGGGGTCCTTATTAGAATGCAAACCTTACAGAGCAGCATCTGACGCTGCATTCTAGCATGCCCACGTCGTGCAGGCACAGTGGCTGATTACTCAATCAATCAAGCACGCTCGTCATTAAGTAGGCGAGCGCACAAATATGCAATCAAGCAAGCAAGCATATAAGCAAACGTGCATACAAGGCAGGACGCGAACAGGGAAGCATCCGACCGATCAAGCACGTCTGCAATCAAACCGGCAAGCTTGCACGCCTGCGCGCTTGCACGCGCGCAGTTTGTCAAGCAAGCAGCCATGAACCTCAAGCAAGCATGCGGTCGTGGGGGCGAGCGGGGAAGCACGCAGACAGCCAGGCAAGTCAATCCGAGCTCTGATTGCCGACGACGACGACGCTGCCGAGTAAATTTGCGACAGGGTGGACGGTTGGGGGATGTTGCCAGCCTATAGCATAACCCTATCCCTATGAACGGCATTACCTTGCCTCGATGCCGATCCTAAGGATACCTTCAGTTTCTGAGGACGCATCCCTAAGCTTGCCATCGCCTTTGGATGGGCAGTCTTTGATAGACAAGCTCGAGGCTGGTCAGGACGGGAGTGCTGCCACCTTTTTGCCCCTACCCCTGCATCCGCTGCCGCTGCCTCTTCTTCCCGCTCCTGCCTCCTCGCTGACGGGCGCTTCTCGGCGCTGGCGCGGGGCGAGTCCAAGAAGACGTTCCATGGAGTCCTCTGGTAGCAGCTCGCGGGAGCCCGGCGCGCCCTCGCAATTTCGCCTCTCGGGTGCATGAGCGTGTATTGGCGTGCGGTAACCGACTAGCAAGCGCCGAATCAGCGCCGATCAGCGTCGGTTAGCGTTAAGCCGGGCCTGTCCCTCTACAGGGGAACTATTAAAAAAACAGTCAACAAATAGTCTGGGGAGAATTTTTTTGACCATTTTTGAGTATTTTAGGGTACTTTTCTGACTAGTTTGAAATTTTCGTCCAAAATCCCCCTGTAGGGGGACAGGCCCGACTGAAGGTTAGCGTCGATCCGCGAGAGCCATGAGTTGTCTGCACGGCTCAGTCTCGAGTGCCCTGCGGCCAGCGAGGGGCGGATGGGTCGGCGTGGCGGCTACTCGGAGTCCCGTGCTGCTCCACCTCCTGCTGCTCCGCACGCCTGAGGTCGAGGAGGAGGAGGAGGAGGAGGAGGAGGAGATTTCCGACGCTTCTGGTGTGCGCGCCCAGTGGCCTGCCGAAGAAAAACAGGAGGAGGAGGAGGAGGAGGAGGAGGAGGAGGAGGAGGAGGAGGAGGAGGAGGAGGAGGAGGAGGAGGAGGAGGAGGAGGAGGAGGAGGAGGAGGAGGAGGAGAAGGGAGGAGGAGGAGGAGGAGGAGGAGGAAGAGGAGGAGGAGGGAACGGCGAGACGGAGGAGGAGGAGGGCGAGGAGGCGAGGAGGATCCTGACATGCGAGAAAGTACGGGCACCGCCAGTCAAGTTGTAGGGTGAGCTGCGTCAAGGTCCAGTCAACGGCGTCAAAGTCCAGCCAGACAGCTTGTACTGTGAAGTGCGCGCTAGCCGTGCCACCGAGCACAGATCCCAAGTGCAGCGTGGAAGGGCGATGTTCTCGAAGGCCTGCCTGGCATCAGGCTGCACCCTCGAAGGTCGGATTTGGAGGCCTACGCGCCGAGAGCGCAGTCGCGCCCTGGTGACCGTGTGTCCCGAGGCTGGAGGGGTGGCAGTTGAGGAGTGCGTGCTCCTCCTGCCGTTTAATTTCGGTCCCTCGCGCGACGAGGAAGAGGAGAAAGAAGAGGAGGAAAAAAAGGAATACGAGGAGGAATACTCGTATTATTTATCGCAATAGTACTCGTAATAATCGTATTAAGAATAATAGTATGACTAATACTCAGATGAACACGAAGAGTAACACGAAGGCGAATAATATGCATGACAATACTGCGAACAGGAATGTTGTTCATAATAGTAACATTACGACCGATAACAACACTAATGCTAATTTTACTCGTAATAACGAGGGTACTGATAGTATTGAGAACAAGAATGCGAAGAAGCACGAGGACTACTACTACTACTAATAATAATATTAATAATAATACTAATAATACTAATACGAATAGTAATAATAATAATGCGAATACTAGTATTACTAATATGAATATCAGTAAGAATGCTATACTTAATAATCGTAATCGTAATACTAAGAATATGACGCTACGAACAATTCATCATATGACCAATCATACACATATCAAGAATCATTTTACGAATGCTACGAACAATAACCATGCTTTTCATGATAATACTGTTATATAGTCATAAGGATTATATTCGTAAGAAGAGGAAGAAAATGAATATGAGGAGGTGTTCGGAGGTACTGTTTGTGCGCCCTCCTGGCCAAACCAGGAGAGCGCGGCGTGTGCACCGCTGCGGGGCTCGGGACGGGCCTGGCCAGGGAGCCGTCGACATGCACAGCCTTCGTCGCCCTGCTTTCCCCCCCCCCCGTTGCGTCCAGCGTGCCCCTCTGAGGCCTTCTTTTCCTGCGCGCGCGTCGCCGGCGACAATTGCGCTGTGCCTGACTCTCACTTTACGACCTGTTTGACGGCGCGCGGCTGCCCGCGTCGCTCGCGAGCAAAAAAGTCCAACGTGCCCCTCCCCCTCCCCCCGCGCAGCCGCTCTCGTCTTCCTCCCCCCTCTGGCACACCAGCCAGTTCGCCCTGCGGCTGCCCCGAAGGACCCCGCCGTGGAGCGGGCTGCCTCTGCCTCGCCGCCGGCGAACAAACAGTCCGGCCGATGCTCCCCCATTCTCGAACGAAGGGCCGGCACCCCCATCCTCCAACGAGAGGCCTGTGCAAACAGAAGCCCGAGCGGTTCCCTCGTGTTCAAAAGGAACATCAGTCGCCCTGCTCTTCCTCCCCGCCGCGTCCAGCACGCGGTGGCGCCAGCTCGCCCCTCGTTCGGGACCTCGCAAAGAAGGGGGAGGGGGGCCACAGGGGCGGGGGGTGAGGTCGGTCCGTTGGCGCATCGAGGTCCCCGACCACCGCCAGAACCCGAGACGCGACAATCGAGGCGCGCGGGGGGCATCGTTGCTCGGAAATGCGATGCGCCAGCGGATCGAACTCCCCCCCCCCTGCAGGTCCCCCCCCTTTGGTGGGCCCTGACTCTCCCGGGCGCGGGTCCCCTCCTGCTCCAAAGGGCGGCCCTCTGCTTCGCCGCGCGGTTTCCCGGTGCTTCCTCCGCGCGGGGACCCTGCGATCGCGAGGCCGCCGCGTCGCTT